ATAACATCTTTCTATGACATCAAGCCGCCATATTTCTGCATATTTCACAGAAAAGATTGATTTAAAAACAATTGTGGTTTGTTCTTCTGACCTGTCTGGTTTCAGGATTGATGAGGTCGAAGAATGCCCTGACAGTAGCCAGAACGAGCTCTTTGCACCTGGAACACAAACACTTGTTAATAATCTGCATATATTTAAATAGGGTTCTGAATAAATGCAGTCTAATAATACGTAAGGCCATGTTTTTACCAAACGATGGATAGATGGTCAGTGGACACCCATGTCCTGGGAACTGCAGTAGCCTTGACAAAAACAAGAAGACATTGAAACAAAAATGTAAAGAGCAGTGCAGCATCAAACACAATCTACAGAACGCTCTAGCACCCAATACTTTAGGAACTTTTAGCACCATCAAGGCAAAATACACTCACACACTCACAAATACAGGGCATTTTACACAGCAGAAACATTTTGACCTGCTTCCTTAAAAAAAAAAAAAAAAAGAAAAAAAGGAGGTTAAAAAACGTTCCTGCCATGGAAGAGGGCTGGACTGGGTCAAGTGCCACTTAACCAGTTCACTGAATGATACTTACCACCAGTGACAACTTATTGGAGTCTCCTGGAGGACAAGGTAGGGACGTCAGGCCGGAGCGGACCTGGTAGTCACGGTAACCACCCCCAACAGACAGAACGGTGACATTCCTGAGCTTGTTCGCCTGGTTCACCCACTTCTGTCTCACTGCAGAGTAGAAATCTACATGGGGGGGGGGTAAAGAGGTAAGAAGGTAAAACCAATGCAAAGATTAACCATTGATCTGAATTCATTTTTATGTTACCAGCTGTGATCTCGAAAAGTCTTTCATCATAACTATTATTGGTCATATTTTTACTGTTACAGTTCTTATTGTTCCTGTTATTGTTGCTGTTGCTCTCGGTTTCTGTCTCTTTCTCTCTATAGAGCTGCTTCAGGTCTTTCTTTGCCACTGTCGCCAAGTGATTGCTCATGGTGGGAACTGTTGGGTCTCTGTAAATAATGTTGTAAGTATTATGGTCTAGACCTGCTCTATGTAATAACTTCCTAACCTTTAGTCCCAGGAACAACTTTTCATGGAGCTAAAAGGTTCTTCAATTAGTCCAATGACCTATTGAAAAAGCGATTTATTCTTTCTTCTGTAACCCAATGATGTTTGCAGCATCAGAAATGCTTAGCACTGCAAGCCCCACCACCAAAGTTACATCCCCCGAGGGACTTTTTAAAGGGGTAAAATAACGTTCTCTGACCTTTATTTAGACCCTGGTCCCTGAGGTGGAAGTCACTGTGACATTAGGAATAACAGCCTGCATTTGAGAGAGAGCTCCTTACCCAGCAGGTACGGGTCCAGGGCCAGCACTGGGGCCAGGTGAGGGGAGGCCTGGGTGATGATGAGGCTGACCAGATTGGTGTTGAAGCGGGGCAAAGTGTACAGCGCCCGGGCCACCACTCCTCCCATGGAGTGCCCAACGAGCACCACACTCTGAGGGGGGGTCTTCAGGTGCTGGCAGACCGAGGAAAAGAGAAAACAGACTGAACTCTCTCGCTAGGTTTAGAGTTATACATCTACCAGAAAGGTCACAGGTAGGTGTAGGACATAAAAACATAGAGTCTCCTATTTGTTCATTTTAACTTGAACTTAAAAAGGTCAGCTGTCATGATCTTTGAGGTCTGGATCAAATTACTTTGCAGGTTTCTGTGACTGATGTAGCTGCAGTTTTCATCCTAACACCTATGTAGCTGTGTGTGCAATTGCAAATGTGTCGTGTTTTTTTTCTGCTTGGCTTTTGTTTTGATCTCTTTGTTTTTTGTCTATTTTGTTGTTTCCTCTCTTACCTTCCCTCTTATCTTGCAATGCATGCATACACTTGTGCGCTCACTGCTTATTTTTTATCATTAGTACAATGTTTTCTGTATTATTATTAGTATTTGCAATGTTTTTGTGATTTTTTTTGTTTTAGGGGTTTTGTTGGGTAATGTCTTTTTGTATTATTTTCTCATTTAACCTCTGTTCTGTGTCAATACACCCTGCAATAAAATAAAATAAAGCAAATGTTACAGGTTAAACCCATGTAATGTACTGGCAACCCCTGCAGGTCAACAGACATGCGAGTGTTTAATGGACACAATATTTACTATTAACTGTGAATTTTAATTGCACTCCTTAATGTACTTAGGGGATTTTAGTTTATTCAACTTCTTTACTGCAGTGAGATAAACATGTCAGAGGGTTCAATTATATGTAGAAGGTGATGAAATGTGCTTGATATGTATCCCCCCACACTGAAATACAACTCCACGAGCAACATCCGTCATCTAGAGTAAGTAACCCTGTCTGACGAGTAGATGATATTTGAGGCCTGACCTTGTAGAGTCTCAGGATGGCCTTAATGCTCTCGTGCAGGAAGTGAGTCTGCCTCAGCAAACTGCCGCCGTAGAGGGCCACAAGCTCCTCGTTGAAGTCCACGGTGAACACGTTGAAGTGGAGACCTCCCTCCATGTTTTCAGCCTTCCTCAAGGCCACGGAGCCCAGCGAGCGAGCTTCACGGCGAGAAGGAGACATTAGATGGCGTCAGATTTTCATAGAAATCATACACATGTGCAGTCAGTGTTAGTGCTAAACTAATTACCACCATTATGCTCAGCTACTCTTCCAACTGACATGCTGCAATAATTATTTATTTATTCACAGCTCTTTTGCTGATTATTTTTTTTATATTTTGAATTATTTATTCGCCATCACGTCTCAAGCTCCTTCAGATCCTCCGGGCAGCTCTGCCTGACCTAAAAAGAAAACTCCCTTTACAGTTTAAAGGGCTCATTAAATTTACATAGACTGTACCACTTTCCTGTATGGAAGAACCCTGAGGCACACCCAGATCTTATTTAACACCAATACTTCCTTAAGCTGCTCTAACTCGTGAAGTTGGGAAGCTTATTAAATATCTGCTGTTGTTAAAAATACAGCAGTGTGAAGAGTCTAAATGTGGGACAAGAATTGTTAAGAAGCAGAGAACATGGACCATCATCACAAACACCAGAGTGTAACTGCAGAATGTGTTTGTTTTCACATGAATAAAAGCGCGGGTGTTTTCCTCCTACACACAACTGATAGCAAGAACAGGCAGCCAGCGTGATCTCAGGAAGGATTTGTACCACTGAGAGCATAACTGGGTTATTAGTTAGAGAAAGTATCAGGTCACTAAAAGGTTCCTGGTTTCATTCCCCAAGACACAATCAATTCCAACTCCAATATAAGTATAAATATAACATAATACACTAGTACATTAGTATATATTTTTATTATGGTCAACAAAACTCATGAAAAGACCAAAACCAACAACGTGTCTTTTAATACATTCTGACTTTCCTTCTCTGGGACACTCAGCCCCAAGTGCATATGTTCCTAATGAGGACATATGTCTCACACAAAAATATCTCCCACAGAAATATAAAGTTTTATTTTTAAGAAAGGCTCAGGCATTTTTAGAAACAGCTGGTCACTGTAGTTTTTAGCAAACGTTACTTAAACAGGAGGACACAGCACACTTGTTGGGGACTATTTTCAGCAGTGGATTAACACAAATGTGGTGCTTTAGGGAGTATTTACAGCAGCAGGATGTTGTATGGGATTGACTCAAAATAAACTACTGTGTGTGTGTGTGTCTGTCTGTGTGTGTGTGTGTTCATGGTAATGAAGGAACATCTTACCATGTAACAGTGTGGCTCTACGACAGATAGCGGCAAGGAAAAACTTTCTTTCCATCTCTTAAAAGGAAGTTTCTTGCCAGGTGCTTGCTCATGGTGGGAGCTGTTGGGTCTATAAATAATCTTAGAAAGTACAGTCTAGGCCTGCTCGATATGAAAAGTTATGATTTGGTTATATATATATATATATATATTAAATATATACAAGGCATACACAGAAAACACTATTGTTGGTTTTGGTCTCTTAATGAGATTTGTTGACAGTACCAGTGTATAACACTGGGTGTACATGTCCGTAAATTGATACAAGAACTCTATCACAACAAAAAAACAACTCAAAACAAAAGAAAATGTTGGAAAACGGTTGCTGAATCCAGTTTAACATAACATTAATAACATTTCTAATCATCAATCAAACATTTTCTATCTCATCACGACATACAAAAAAACCGTGAAAACTTGATTTCTGTAACATATTCAGTCTTAAAACACTGAAAGCTTCTGTGCAAAATGTGTGAAGGACAGTCCAGTGTGCTCGCCGCTCAGGTAGACACTAATCACCAAAAAGCATGAAGCCACGCTCATGTCCTCAAACAACCTCAGCACATCCACTTATTGGGAATAAAGGCACCTCCTCCTGCCTATGCATCTGAACGCCACTGCGGTTCAAAGCTTAAACACAACTTTCTCCTCCCGTCGTTTGTTAACCCTTCATTAATGTCCTGCACCTACCTTGTTTGTAGCTGCCTGCATTTCCAGGCAGGAAGAGCACAGGGGCGCCGGTTAGTTTGAGCGCTCGGGTCTCCTGGGCGTACAGACCCTCTCCGTAGAGGTAGAGCCCGTACGCTGGGTACAGTCTGGCCACACGGCGAGGCAGAGCCACGCGCTGTCAACACACAAGGGTCGGTCACACTCGGGCTCAGGCAGTTCATTGACCTGCTGTCACACTTGTAAACACACAACAGTACTCTGAAGCAACTACACACACAGACTGCAGACAACACCTCCATTATTCTACGTATCCACAGGTCATTCTGCTTTTATGTGAGACAGAATGAGACGAGTACAAGTACAATCTGTGGCTGGGTAATACTGATTAGAAACGATCAGTCGAATGAGAGAAAATAAAACAATCCTGGTAATCGATAAATTAAGCAAATTGCCAAAACTTTGCTGTTTTCAGACTCTCCCTTTAAATGTGTGTTTTATCTGGTTGTAAATGAAATATTTTATATTATTATTATATTTTATGAAGATATCAACTTGGGGTACGTGAAATGGACATACTTTTAAACTTTTATCGGTTTTAACCCAAACGACTGAACACTGGAATTAGATTCATTTGCAGCCTTAATATTGATAAAATCCAATATAAGAGCAGAAATCAACCAACATAATTTCACATATGTTGTCACAACTGATCTGTTTTATAATTATAGTAACCATTTATTTCTCATCTTGCCTGTATTCATCCAATCTCTGTAGCCCTGATACAAGAGGCCATCCATTAACCACACAAACAGAGCAGAATAGATCTTGTTAGATGATGTGAGCTCTTTCTACATCCTCCCCTCATAAAACAGAACAAAACAAAGCTGTGTGCAATAAGGTCGATGCCCATACAGAGCACTGCCCCCAGCTGTGCTCCACTTCTGGACAGATGAACACATTATATTAGTGAGCAGAAAGCAAGAGGAAGGCGACCTACATGGCCAACTGTCTTCACCTGATAAATATCTACACTTCCTTCTGTTCTAATAAAATCGGATTGGTCAGAAAAGATTCAGTTTTTCAAGAGTAATATAGTTTCTAATGTTTACATGTGAATTCCAGCTCCACCTACACAATAAAACACTGGAAGTAATGAGACGCTAAATGTCTGGTATGGTTGACCCTTAATGTATCTCCAGATCGTTGGCAGTTACACATTATTATTATAAATGTACAGTAATATTGATTAGAAATAATAAGTCGATTGGAAGAAAATTAGGAAGACGTCCTACGTTGGTAACATTTTTAATTTCTATTAAATGGCATTAAAAGACAGTGCTTATATTGCCAGAGGAAACAGATACTAACAGTTATAAAAGCAATAACAATAATAACAAATGTATGAATGTGTACACAAATCCTAGTAAATAAGGCATTGTGACACAAATATGACATTAACAATCAAACAAACCACAAGCAAGAGAAAAACAAGAAGCAGTATTTGTTGGTGTTTTAAAGGTCTGTCCCTCAGATTGTGACATGATAATGTACAGCAATTCTGTTTTTCACCTAATACATATTTGAATATGTCATTTTCTGATTGCAATTCTAATTCTTGGCAGACTTTTTGGGAAGAATAATGCTCCAATTTCTGCCTACTTGTGTGTGTTTTCAGTGTGCACTGTGGACACCTGTCCTCAGTGAAGGGCACATAAATAACGCTCCACATTTGGACTAAATATGGGCGATGGTAAAACATTTTCTGAATAAAAATGGGGTTTGTGGGTACCCACAAGTCTCCCCCCTTTGCAAACATGCCCACCATCTACTGTATTTTCATATTTCTGCACACAGGAGCCCATAAACAGTAGTTAAACCGAATAAACTGGGAATAAATGGAAAGCTGAGACACATACTTGCCTGCCAACCCAGTTAAATAAATAAAAAAAGGAAGTGTGGAAACGCCCCTGCTGATTTGTAGCCTCTGTGCAACAAACAAACAAACAAAAGGCTGATCTGCTGATAATCTGCTGAGAGGATTCAAGGATCAGCATCTGATTTATGCTTTTATAACCTGGCTAATTTGGGTCTAATCTAACTAATCCTCAACCTATAGGGCACACCTCCAAAACCCACCACAGGTGAGTCCGAGCACTGGCATTACCTGTCGGGTACTGAACGTTAGATAGCACACTCACAGCTGCAGAAACACACTGATAATAATAACAATAGAGATTCATTCTGGTTTTAAAGCACACTTCTGTTCGCGGTGCAGATGATTTATCGTGGTGTTATTTAGCCCACACGGTTCGCTTCCTTAGCTCATTTATGCCAACACCGTACGAGGGGTTAAGTTGAAAGCAATGAGCCCGGTTACTCACCCGATACTCCGGGTATTCAAACATATAGGTCATACTGCAGCGGTTCTCCTCGAAGCCAGTCAGCAACTCTCGCAGGCCGACCGCCAGCAGCCCCAGAGCAAACCCGTAAAAGGCCACAGTGGCGAGTTTCATGGTTCGGTTCCGTGTCTCGGGTTTTAATTTTTTTTTTTTTTTTTTTTTTTAAAGATATATTAGAGGTGTTTTAATTGTCATTCTGGGTAACTCCTCGCCGTGCTGCTGTGCACAGGTTGTCATAACTCACCGGCGGCGGAACCTCTCACAACAGGAACCGCACAGCCTACTATACAAACAGCGGGTGATTGGCAGCTGGGTTCGACCAATGGGAGAGCAGAGAACGGGAGAGCCGATGGACCAATAGGAGAGGAGGGGAGGGACAGCCGGTGACACAATCAGACAGACAGACAGAGAGAGAGACAGACAGATAGA